GTAATTAAATTTGCTTTACAGAAAAATTACTGAATATTAATATACAGGTCAGAAGAAAGCAGGAGCTTTTGTAATAGGTTTTGAAGTTTTGAATTTTTGTTATTGAAGTTGTAAATAAAACAATATTACTGGAGTAGTTTTTTCAGTCTTTGTACTTCAGAATTTTTATTCAATCTATTACTTGTAGATTCTTTGTAGGTAATTGTGGAATTTACTACCAATTTCTGAGTGAAAATAGTTTCTACATGATTTGTTTTTTTCAGTGCAGATTCAAAAACCCTTGAATAAGAGTTACTGGGGTACCCTATATATGTTGAATGTGTATAAGCAAATTGAAAAATCAAGATAAAACAAAAAATCTTCAATAAAGCCAAACTATCAGAATGGTTGCGTAGGTTTAGGTAAATTGTTTTTATTTTTTATAAATTATGTTATATTGATTTAAACGATATAACATAAAACTAATAACTATTTATGATGACTTATCAATGATTCAAATAGCAATGTTTGTCTGTGAATGTTTTTAAAGATTCTGCGAAAATCTTACATTATGACTATGAAACTAGTAGTTAATATTCAGCATTCTTTGCGTGAAATTACGTAAAAGACACTTAAAACAACCTTACTGTGAATTTATTTTAATTTTATCAAAAGAGATATGCCCATGTGATGTTCTTTTTATCACACAAAAAAGACTTAGTAAATATCCACACTGTTTAGCTATTGCTGCTTTGTTAAACTGTGAAGTCACTGCTCTGTAGTGTAAAGTCACTATCAATGTGGAAAGCTTTTGGAACAGACTTTATTTGCATGCCTTTATTATGTATTCATATACATACGGTCATTATGTACATTTAATCTTGGTTCTTCAAAAGAAAATCAGATTAACCAGTTTTATGCATTTTAGGCATTTTTGCTTTGCACTAGTTTATACAGTGTTTCAGATTTTTGTAGTGCTTTGTCATTCTTATTTCTTAATGCCATAAACATTTGTAAATACATTTCTTTCTCCACACAGAGTATTCCAAGAGAGTATACCAAGGTGTCAGAGTCAAGCATACGGTCAAAGATCTTCTTGCAGAGAAGCGATTTCGACAAACAAATGCACCCCGATTCAGTGTAAGTTAGCCATCATTCTGACCATCTGGTCTGATTTTCTCACATATTATCGTTATATTATTATTATATTAAGTGTTTTGCTCTGTCTTTATACAATAGACAGTATCTGAATTCAAGAATTTACATTCACGACAGACAAACAAATATAAGTATAAAGTGTAAGACATCTCTCACACAGCCACACTGTTTAGCGCATCCATGCATGTCATGTCCTTGTTACTTTTTTTGGAGATAAATATCAGGCACACCTGCCAAAATCAGATCTACCTTCCTGAAAGGGGACAGACAGGTATTGTTACCAGTAGACGGTTAAACCCAAGCCTTAACTGAGGTAATTACTGAGGGATTTGCTACAAAATACAAAAGAACAGACAGTCCTTGTGCTCAAGTGAACTCTGGCAGCAGGTTGTTGTCTGCTGTTGTTTTGTTTTCTGTCCTTAGTGAAACTAATGGACCAGTCGGTTCATGCAAATGCCCCAGACGAAGTGGTTGGCCTCAATATATATATCTGAACAACAGACCAGCAAAGAGATACACATTACATATTTTACATGATAAATAAAAAGCACTAGTTTATTATAGAAATAAATAGTTAACTACTATAAGAATTCCCTTTACAGACTGCGAGTCTCTAACAAAGAACGATATCTACTAAACAAATTAACTTAATTCCACTGCGTTCTTCTCCGGCACGTTGCAGAGTCAACTGGGATATGTTTCCAGTCATCCAATGATTTCTTTAGATCCTTGTGGCAAAATCTCATGAGAAGAGTACACACTCCACCGGAGGGAAGTGTACATTCAGAGCGAGGAGGGGAGCGCTGTTGTGACACTGGCAAATCATATTCAAATATCCTCCCACATGATTTGCCTGGCTTTCAACAGAACAAGCACTAAAATTTGCGCCTTCCTCTCTTTTTCTCCATATTCTCACTGGCTGTAAATCAGGCAAATACATTTCATTACACGCTGTCGTCTTAAGTGAAGTTTATGAGAAACACACATACATAGACGGCCTGTGTTAATGTCAACTGACTCTCTAACGTTTTTGTTTTTTAGACGAGCAGCAGTTCTTCTCAGCCAGCTTTTGTACCGATGCCTGGTGAGTCCGTCTGGTAATGCTTATACACTCCTAGATCTAATTAGATAGTCAGGTGTGCTCAGTGAGAGGCTAATTCATCTTGAATCAGGGCGTTAACAGAATTTCCTGCTTCCTCTTGAAGGGTCGCATATGCTTCCTGGTTACTACAGTATGCGAAGATCCTTCCTCCCAGACTCAGAGCTCTGCCATCCCATGAAGCAGTACTCACCAGACACTTACTCTTCGGCGCTGGGAAGCAAGGCCTTCTCGTATGACCACCCCTCCACTTATCCTTCCTTCATCGACAGCTACTACACTCCTGATTCATATGGAGATTACAGAGGGCCAACATCTTATACCTCCAGCGGAGGGTCACTGTTTCCACCATCTACACTACCAACACTACTACCAAGTCTGTCTGGAGAGACATCGTCACACTTGCACTTGGTATTTACACTTCCTACAACTGATATTATTTGGGTCAAAGATGTAGATGAAGAGTTTCCATGAAAAAGAAAAATCTCTAAAACTCATCTTTTAAGTTCTGCTTGTGTTCATGTTGGTTTCATATGGTAATGAAAACTGAAACAGTATCAGTTCAATAGCTCCAGAATAAATAAATGGAAAAAAGTCCCTACACCTTGAATATATGTATGTGTACACATTTTAACCATTATTAACAAGCACATTTTAAAAAAATAATTATATATATTATACATATTAATGAATTTGTAAATATTATTTATGAATATCATAGGTTTTTTTAGTTTCACGCCACATTCACATGGACATTTACATTACCATTCAAAAGTTTGGGGTCAGAAATTATTACTTTTATTGTAATACTTTTATTTAAAGGACGCATTAAATTGATCAAAGTGACATTAAGGACATTCATAAGATTTCCAAATAAATGCTGTTCTTCTAAACTTTCCATTCATCAAAGAATTCTGAAGAAAATGTTCAAAAAATGTCAAGCAAACTTTTTCAACTTTATTAATAAGAAGAAATGTTTCTTGAGCACCAAATCAGATTGATTAGAATGATTTCTGAAGGATGCTGATAATGATGCTGAAAATACAGCTTTGCATCACAGAAATAAATTATATGTATATATTAAATACATAAATACATTTAAAAATATTTTCAATTGGAATAATATTTCACAATATTACTGTTTTTGCTGTATTTTTGGTCAAATAAATACTGCATTGGTGAGCAAAAGATGCTTCCTTCAAAACATTAAAATACCTTACCGTCTCCAAACTTCTGAACAGTAGTGTACAACCTGACATAACCATGACATAAAAAAGGTCACGCCACATGTTTTTGTAGAACGTTTTTTTATACATATATTAACACAGAATTTGTTAATTTTTTTGTCCAAAGAATAATAATAAAAAGATTATATCAGACTACTTGATACATTTTTTCAAAATTATTGTAATTAGACTTCTTTTTTTCTTCAGTTGTATTACTCCAACATTTTTTACATTTTGCCCCAAAAATACATATCACAATTAATTTTTTGAATAAATTAATAGCGTCACGTTATTGACCCGTTTTCTAACTATATTAATGAAAAGATTATTAAGCAATGGTGTTCCTCTACACTACAGAGAGACCCTTGGGATCAGCCAGCGGAGGACCCAGTCAGTCAGTCAGAAGTCATATGTCCTGAGGGTTCAGCACCTGTGGCAGACTCACCATCCCTGGGAGGGCCTGACTCTGGCAGTTCCTCTCCATACCGTCTATCCTCGGGGCGCAGCGGGAGCTCCATCCCATCCAGCTCTCAGGTTTATACTCTACAACCCCTGGAAGATGTCCCGTACCCAGCAGCATCGTACGCCTCTGCTTCCAGCTACTCCTGCCCGCCATACATGACAACACCTGGAGATCTGGCTGTGGTGAAGATGACACCCGTCACCTCAGAGGAGGCTAGTGGTGGAGTGGTGTCTCTCAGTGACACTACATCCTGGGCTAAAGATGATGGAACTGGGCCCTGGCTGTCATATGAGACTAGGAGGGCTTTTTAAGAGGCTTAAATGACAATACAAAGACTGTGGACTGATTTTTTTGCAATGACACAGCATCTTTATTCTTATAGAGAAGGAGATTATATAGGTTCATCATAAAGATGACCCCAAGAACTGCTGGTCACAATATACAATTTACAAACTGTTTGTATTGCTTAAGGACACAGCAAAGTATGTGCCGATAGTTTAGTTAATTCGAGGTTTAATTATGCATTTTACATGCCCAAGCGCTCTAGAATGAATTAGAAGGCAATGCTAACTTTTTTCCTTTCTTATATTTTCACTTGTAACATAAGCCCTCAATGATTGGCCACGAATATATAACTCAAAAATAACACCAAATAACACTTTTTTTTAAACAACAAGTATGTTAGACTTTTGTCAGGAATGCCAATATAAAAAAATAAAACATGTTTTGGCTTGAAGAAAGTGTGTTATCTTTATAAAACTGAGCGAATTAGGCGTTCTAAGGAACAAACCTCCGGATACGAGTGCTGTTGTTAGGACGCCACTGAGTTGTTAAGTTAAGGCCCCCTTAGAGACAGGAGTGAATGAGGACATAAACACATCGCCTGTTCAAATTTCTCTCACTTCGGACAACTTATCTCTTATAAGTCATGTATTTATCAAGCAATTAAAATGTCAAAATAATAAAAAATATTAATGTATATTTAAAAATATACAAGTCAAAGTACGTTATTTAATTTTGTTGTAACTTTTATAAGGGCTTCTATTTGTGAGCCACCGCGTTGCTAGGCGCTTTTTGTTTTTGTTCGTCTGGACAGCAGCGCACGTCAAAGTTTCTGAAGTTTGTTCTACATTTACTATGTAATCGTATTGCTGTTCTGAGACAGGTTGTTTTTCATGAAAGTTACTTGTACTAGTACTATATCCAATTTTAGCTTCGGGAGTATGGGTCGTTAAATGGCCGTTGTTTTGCCGTTGTCGTACGCCTCACATTATTAAGTCGATCTCAGAAAAAAACACACTAGCTAGCTTAGCCTAGTTTGACATTCTTTCCTTATATTATTCAATTGCGAAACAAGCCATGAGGAGAAAACTGCCTAAGTGATATGCGTACGTGTGTCCACTTTATACTGACTTGTACTAGCTTTTTACCTGAAAAGACACCGGACTGTTCCTCTGGGTCAAGGCTTCCTCGCTGATGATGGATCAGTACCATATTTTGGAGGTTATCGGGGAAGGGTCATTCGGCCGAGTGTACAAAGGCCGCAGGAAGTTTAGCGGCCAGGTGAGCGCTGCTTGTGCGACACGATGTCAGAAATTAGCTTTGTTTGTTTGGAATGTCATTCTCTCCCTCTCTCTCTCTCTCTCTCTCTCTCTCTAAATGTGTAACACAACAGCATTCCCTCCACATAAATCAAATCTCATTTGGGACAAAAGAAAAAAAAACTTCTGTCAGCCAATCAGAATCAAGCGTTTTAGAGTCTCGTGGTATAAATTTGAGTTATTTGCTGGTCACTTCGTTAGACTGTTTTGTTTACAATAAATGTAAACTAGGCTTCATGTTTTGGAGTTAATTTCTCTACATTCAAGGCTAATTTTTTTTTCTTTAGCTACTCATTTAAAAACGAGGATCCATGACACTGAATACCAAACAAATAATGGATATAATAGTAACTGACTTTATTAAAAACAGAGTCTCTCTCTCTCTCTCTCTGTCTGAGTAACATCAACCCTTTTCATTTTCTAGGTTGTGGCTCTGAAGTTCATTCCCAAAGTTGGCCGCTCAGAGAAGGACCTGCGTAGTTTGAAAAGAGAGATTGACATCATGAGGGGGCTTAAGCATCCCAACATAGTGCTGCTTTTAGACAGCTTTGAGACAGAGAGGGAGGTATGATTGTAACAACCTACTCCCAAGTCATGTTACATTTTCCACTGTTGCATCTCTGTTCCATAACCCGGTGCTTCCAGTATAACGGCTTGTTGAAATGAAACATAGCTCCCAGGGTTCACGATTTTACATTCAAATCTCTAGGGAATAATTCTCGTTGGCAAAATATAGTTTATATGTAGACGTTAGGATATTGGCATTAGTACAACAAATGCAGTAAGCTTGTAACTTTGATCGTCCCATAAAATGTGTAACTGAAAAAATATCATTTAAAAAAAAAAACTGAATTGGTGTCAGAGGAATAATTGCAAATCTCTAGGGAATAATTCTCGTTGGCAAAATATAGTTTATATGTAGACGTTAGGATATTGGCATTGGTACAACAAATGCAGTAAGCTTGTAACTTTGATCGTCCCATAAAATGTGTAACGGAAAAAATATCATTTTTAAAAAAAAAACTGAATTGGTGTCAGAGGAATAATTAGAGCATGTATTCCTCTGGCAGGTGGTGGTGGTGACTGAGTATGCAGAGGGTGAGCTGTTTCAGATCCTGGAGGATGATGGGAGTTTACCTGAAAATCAGGTACATCAGTGGTCACACTGTTTTACAGTAACTGACAGCCCAACGTATTAGATTTGATTTATTCATTGTTGTGTATAAGTTACAACTATCTAAGACTTGGTTTACATTTGATAACTTTATAGACTTTAAAAGCTAATAATATAATCACTGATGCATATAAAAGTTAAAATATGCCATACAAATTAGAATAAACATACTTACATTTAGCCTAAAGTAAATGTATTTTTGAAAAATACATATATTTCATCACTTTTATTTCTTTGATTTGATGACATACTGGATTTTTTTGCTGCTCAGACCTCCTAACTGGGACACCCTCACCTGCTAACCTGTTATTTTATATCTTGTGTAGGTGCGTGAAATAGCCTGCCAGCTTGTTTCTGCCCTGTATTATCTGCACTCCCATCGCATTTTGCACCGTGACATGAAACCACAAAACATCCTGCTGGGAAAAGGAGGAGTAGTAAAGCTCTGTGACTTTGGGTTGGTGTTACCAATTGGTGCAAATACAAGTTCAAACTACTTTATATTTATTTTTCAATAGCTAAAATAGCAATGGCTGGTAGTTTTCGAGGAATCTTACGTTGTTCTCTGAAATTACTCTAAATTTCATCTCAAATGTTAGCATAGTGGTGTTACCAGTCCTCTCAAAATGTAGAAATATTGTCATATTAAAATCTCTCTCTCTCTCTCTCTCTCTCTCTCTCTCTCTCTCTCTCTCTCTCTATATATATATATATATATATATATATTTGCAAATGTCTCTGCAAACATTAACTAATAAAATATGATACAATTTATAAACATACATTTCACATAACCCACATCAGTATATCTCAGAATGATACAATTTGAATTTATCTAACTTATTCTGTCATGTTGTGTGCTCTGGTAGTGGTGTCAGAAGAGGGTTCAAGCAACCCCCTGACAGTCCCACCCAGCCCCGACCTACAAGCCCTGAAACACCAGCAGGCTGCTGAGAAGACAACGGCACGCAGCGGAGAGGGCAAACTACTGCGCAAAGCTAGAGAGCTTCGGGAGAAAGAGAAGATTAACAGACGGGTAAACTCATACTACATCTGGGAACAACAGCACGCATAAACAAAGAAGTTTGTCTTTGTTAGTTTTCTCTGTTAAAGGGTTGTGGATCTGTGTGATTCCTTTCTAATTTATTTGATTTTTGCAGTCAAATTAACTTTATGTAACTGAAATCAATGCTATTTTTGTGCAAATTTTACAATTTACTATATTACAGCATATGGAGAAAAATGTGCCTTAGAGGAGCTTTGAAAGTATCAGTTTCTGTGGAAATAATAAAACTGTGTTGGGTCTTGTTTTACTAGGAGATTGCGAGTGGAAGTGCTGCATGCGCCAGTCAGACACACTGTAAGACAGCTTCTGCTGGAGGAGCCCCCACCACTGGCCACTCATTGGGCAGCACCTTTTCAGTGTATCAAAATTCATCTCAACCAGCAACCAATCAGCATCAAGCAAATGACAACAGTGTTACCAGGTAGTATTTCCACCTAGAATTTGAATTTGAAAACCTGCAGGCCTCAACTTAAAAATGGGCATATTAACAATGCTGCTGTGACAGTGAAAATAATGTTTGGACCGGAGTGAAGGAATGAATATATTATAAAACCAAATGTAGTGAACTAAATTGGTCAAAAACCTATTTAAACCAAGGATAAAAGATCTTGTGAAGAATCATATTTCTAAAAGCTAAAAATACATTGCAAATGCATTATGCATTATTTAAATTTATGAAAAATAAATGTACATTTATTTATTATTTAAATCAAATGTAAATTTATGACAATATAAAATAAGTCTTAATGGCCCTCTTCCCCATGTTCTTTGTTTTGTAAGATGGACCAGTAAAAAACTTTTACAATTTTTAGCACAAGTATATTTAAAGGGGTCATATGATGCTTTTTTAAAGATCATTATTTTGTGTATTTGGTGTAACAGAATATGTTGACATGCTTTAATGTTCAAAAAACACATTATTTTTCATATACTGTACATTATTGTAGGTCCTCTATGCCCCGCCTCTCTCAAACGCTTCATTTTCTACAAAGTCCCTCCTTCCGACAAGCGCAGTCTGCTCTGATTGGCCAGCTGACCCAGTGCATTGTGATTGGCCGAACACCACAAGCACTCGTTGGAAATGTAACGCCCCTTACCATAATCACGAGCTTCATCTTTCAAAATAAATGTAAAGACAGTAAATAATGTCATTAGTTTTACCATCAGTTCAAGCCCGAAAGGGGAACAGACACAGTAATGATGCAGTACACAAGCTGCGGTTAAGACAGCTGACTCTACTGTGATGTGACACTGTCTCTCTCTCTCTCTCTCTCTCACACACACACGCGCGCGCACGCACACACACACACACACACACACGATGCGCAAAACTCCGCATTCGAACAGTCAATAGCAAATACTTATAGAAGCTGATAAGCTGATTCAGAAGCGCCAGATTGTCATAGCAAAGTCAGAATGACCTCCTCTCCTAGGTTCACGAAACGGTCGTCCATAAAATGCATTGCTGTTCTGTTATAAGTAATCTTAAAGATTCCTAAATGCATCTACTTTCGGAAGGCCAAATAAAGTGCTTTTGCTTTCACCTAGAACAGGGGTAGGCAAGTTCGGTCCTAGAGAGCCGCAGTCCTGCAGAGTTCAGCTCCAACCCTGAAAACAAAACTCCCCTGCCTATAGCCTTAGTAATCCTGAAGACATTGATT